GGCGACCCTTTTTGGTAGCAACTTAGGAGTGCCTGGTATTTTATCAACCCGCTCTTGATGTTCTTTCATCTAATTTCGGAGCTTTTTGTTTTCATTCTTCATTTCTTCCATCCTTTTTAGGATGGTTGTGAGGGCGTTGTTACCTGCATTATCGACGACATTATGAGTTATACATGTCGTTGGAAGGGGTGGTTGATTGCACTGCTCGTCTATTTGTTGTATTGTGCTAGTCCTTGTTGTTTCTGCAGTCGAGCCTGGAGAGGGTTTGTTGGGAATTCTTGTTAGCGTGTCAGTCAACCATGCCTCAAGGAGCTTTTTGACAGCTGGGGGCGCCCCTTCCTCTGCAGGCGTAAAGGCTCTTTTACAACGAGGTTTTGGTATATTGCAGTGTGGGGGTGGTGACCCATCTCGCCTAGGGGACTTATTGGGCGTCGTGTCTTCCCCGCCATTTCGCAGCTCTCAGCTCTCAATTATGACATTTATGAGGTTGGTCGGAAGGTCATTTGTTATCCTCACCCTTTCTTCTCGGTTACCTGCCATGTTAGGTTTTGCATATAGAAAGAAAAGAGATCTTGGGTTTTGTGACGTTAGTGACTTGCGTTAGTTGTAGATATAAAGGAAACTAAAAATTTAACTAAGATATCCCCATACGACGCCAAATTATTTGACCAATAATATAAATCTTGGTTCGAATAATTAAATATATATAAACAAAGGTTGACCTTAGTTAATAATAATATTCTTAGATCTTAATATTAGAAAAGGTAATTGATAAGTGTTTATGCGGACAGTAATGGCACCACAAGATAAATGCTCTCAAAAATAAAAAATAGTGGTATAGCATATAATATTCAATGAACAATAATAAATGGCATTTAAGTAAATAAGGGAATGCTTCAATCAATAAAGGGTGGAATAAATGAATCTTCCATCTGACAATAATTAAAAGACAAATCCTTGAATAATCGAGGATTTCTTGGATCTGATGGTAAAGTGTAGATAAAAATTTCAGTGAAAAGTAGATCTTTGTATCGAGTGAAGACCAAATCTTTTTATCAAATTGCTTTTCGTACAAATAAATGTCACATCCCCCTCTATCACTGTTTCTTTTTCTATTTATATGGGACACATTCCCAAAAAATCCTAATAGTGCAAATAAAGAGAATATCCACTAGAATATTCTTTTTAAGATCCTATCTTGAAAACTAGTCGTTACAGCTCCATCGACGGTACTCGACCTCGATCTCGATCCTCGTTGATATCTTAACTGTGGCTCTCATTGGCTCCTCGACCAAAGGTTGTGCGGCTTCTCAGACCTTTTTAATAAATGACGATTTCAGGATTCTTCCTCTAATGTTATCTTGACCTAAATATTCTAGGGGCAGATTTTGACCCATTCAGTTAGGGCATCAATGCGAATACCAATCATCGAACGAAAAGAGAGAGAGAGAGAGAGGGGGGATAATCAATTAATTAATCAACAAGCGTAGAACTTAAAAATAGTTTTAAAATTTTCAAGATCACTGTAAGTGGACTTTGATTTCGCTGGACGATGAGGAAGATGAGCGCCATTTTGAGTGCTAGTAATTATCTGTAACATACGATTAAACAAAACAAACTGTATTCCATTTGTTACCAGCATCTTAAACATCAAAGCTACCCAAATCCTAACACTTAGCCATAAATTTTCCTATAAAAAAATGAAAGGGTCTGGTCAATAGATTAATAAACCCTAGATGGTGAATGGAACTTCATTTTCTCCATACAATCTATTTTTTAAAACATTCAAAAGATTTAAGAGATCAGAACTAATTGGATAGCCTGATAGTTAACACTATCTCAATTAATTAATAAAAGTTAATCTTTGTTAAGGTCTTTCACACGCTGAGACAAGAGTCATTATAAACCAAAGTTTGGACCACTTTATAGTATGTTAAAAAAACATAAACATGAGTCTCGTGATTCATGTTAGATGAAAATACCCTCACAACCCATAGGGAGAGGTGTTTGAATATTGGAAATTAAAATGACAGAAAGTGAATTTTGAAACCCATTAATTAGGTGAAGACCTAAGATCTAGCTGGTCAAATAATGTGTTATGTTATAGTCATGATCCAGGTTGATACTATATAGGTTAACTTAACCATAGTTAGGTTTTCTTGTAACTATAGTTAGTTGTTGGTGTAGTTAGTTGACTATAGTTAGCTAATCAGAGATTAGTCGGTTATATTAGGTATAACTGTAGATTGTACAATACACTTTCATTTTTGCATATTCAGAAAATGAGATTCATTCTCACACCTCACGCTTCTCTCTCTTCTCTGTTTTCTCTCTCTGTAAGAGGAATTTCTCTTTACTCATATCCACAAAATTTACATGGTATTAGAGCTTGTAGACGATTGAATCTAGAGGTTTTCACTGAGAATTGTTGAAAACAAGAGATTCGTTGTTCATTTCTCAAAATATTTTCAGCCGGAAACATCAATTGCACGCCAGAACTCTAAACAGTCATGGCCGGAGATGAAGCTACAAGTTGAATAGAGGAAGTAACAAATCAATCTACAGTTGTGATAGATCATAATCATTTACTGTATTTACATCCATCGGACACACCAGGAGCATTGTCACTTGGGTTTCAACTGCAGGAATGGAAAACTACCTGATCTGGAGCCAAGCTATGGAAGTTTTGTTACTAACACAAAATAAGCTATGGCTTATTGATGGTTCAATAACGCGTGACACTTATGGAGACAATTATGTAAATCTATGGGATTCTACAACGCTATTGTGAAATCGTGGATAATGCAAAATGTGAGTCGCGATTTGTTGAGTGGAGTACTGTTTCAGTCAAGTGCATATGCAATTTGGTCGGATCTTAAGGAACGCTTTGATATGGTTAATGCATCATAAATGTATTGCTTACGTAGGCAGATTTTTACATTGACATAAGGTATATCCTCTGTTTCAGTTTACTACTCGAAATTGAAGGATTTTGTGGGATGAATATGACTTGAAATTTTTGCATATTTCAGGATCTCTTCACTAGGAGGGTGAAGGAGATTGGTAAAGAGGAAGAAGGACTATATGTGTTGCACTCACAAAGGAGAAACAAGAATACAACTAGATTATTAGTGATGGTTGCACACAGGAATGAAGCTGAGCTGTGACACAAGAGGATGGGACATGTTCCAATTCAAGTTCTCAAGAAAATTCCTAGTCTTAGTAGCAGTAGTAAAGTAGAAATAAGCCCATGTGGCATTTGTCCTTTAGCCAGGCAAGCTAGGACTTCTTTTCCAGTTAGTAACAATAAAGCAGACAATGTCTTTGATTTGATACATATGGGTGTTTGGGGACTCTATAAAGTTCCTACATATAATGGAAAGAGATACTTTCTCATAATAGTTGATGATCATTCTAGATGGATTTGGATTTTCTTATTATGGTGAAAACTCAGTTTGGTAGAGTGATCAAATGTTTTAGATCATACAATAGTTCTGAATTTTTTAACCATAAGTGTGCTACTCTGTTTCAAATGCATGGGATTATACATCAAAGTTCTTGTCCACACACTCCTCAACAAAATGGAGTGGTGGAAAGGAGACATAGACATGTTGTAGAAACTGCAAGGGCCATCAGATTTTAGGGGCACTTGCCAGTGAGGTTTTGGGGTGATTGTGTAAATGCAGCTGTGTACATAATAAATAGGATTCCCTGCATAATATTAGGAAACAAATCACATTTTAAGTTGTTTTATGGAAGACAGCCTTCATTATCACATATGAGGATCATAAGATGCTTATGTTTTGCAACAAAGTTAACAAGGGGTGACAAATTTGCACCCAGGTCCATAAGGTCAATATTTCTGGGATATGCAAGCACACAAAAAGGATATAGGCTGTATGATATTGAACACAAGACACTCTTTGTCAACAGAGATGTGATATTTCATGAAGATGTATATCCATTTCAAGGTCTTGCTTAAAATTCTTCTCTTTCTATAGATGAGTTTCAGAGGGTTGATCTTCCTCTTGATCAGCTTCTTATTATTTTACCTTCTACTGCAAGAGACAAGGAAAACCTAGTCTCATCTACACCTCCCACAACTGCAGAATCTGATCCTAAAAGTATTAATTAATTAATAGATTCTCATCCTCTACCACATATAGAGGAATCAACTATTGCACAACATGAAGAACATATTAATAACACTGAGGAGTTGAGAAGATCAGGGAGAACTACCAAGCCTCCCATTTGGCTTAAGGATTATGTTGGTCCAATACAGAAGTCCCAATTCTTCTCATGCAGCTCATTGCCAATATCCTATTGGTGATTTTATTCAGTACACAGGGTTGTCTGCTTCATATCAAGCTTACATCACTCAATTGTCTTCTGAAGTTGAACCAAGTTCTTATCATGGGGCAGCTAAGGATGTGAAGTGGATTGAAGCTATGAAAACAGAGATCTAAGCATTGGAGGATAACAAAACATGGGAGGTAGTGTCATTGCCACCAAACAAAAGTGCAATTGGATGTAAATGGGTGTACAAGATCAAGTACACATCTAGTGGGGAAGTTGAGAGGTATAAGGCTAGATTAGTAGCTAAAGGGTATAGCCAAAAGGAGGGACTGGATTATCAAGAAACCTTTTCACCTGTTGTGAAAATGGTTACTGTTAGGTCTGTTGTATCCATAGCAGCTACCAGAGGTTGGACCCTAAATCAAATGGACGTTTACAATGCTTTCTTGCAAGGGGATTTGGAAGAAGAGGTATATATAACCTTATCTCAAGGTTTTTCTCCTGGGCAAGGAAAGACACAGGTGTGTAGATTGCTCAAGTCACTCTATGGGCTTAAGCAAGCTTCAAGGCAGTAGAACATTAAACTCACCACAACACTTTTTAATTCAGGATTCAAGCAAAGTCACTTTGACTATTCTTTATTTACTAAGAACAAGACTCTCATATTGTCATTGTTTTGGTCTATATTGATGACCTTTTGATCAATGGGGATGATGCTGACCTTATTTCAACTACTAAACAAAGTTTGCATCAGAATTTTAAAATCAAAGCACTTTGGGTTGAGATATTTTTTGGGGATTGAGTTTGCTAGAAACAAAGAAGGGATCTTGTTACACCAAAGAAAATATGCACTTGAGCTCATCCCAGATGTTGGTCTAGCAGGATCCAAACCAGTCCATGCTCCCGTTGAGCTAAATCAGAAGCTCACCACAGTGACTTATGATGATCATTTAGGTCTTAATGATGACAGCCTGCTTGAAGATCCTGGTGCTTATCAAAGACTGATAGGCATACTTCTTTACTTGACAATTACAAGGCCTGACATTTTCTTTACTGTGCAGTCTTTGAGTCAGTTCATGCAAGCCCCCAAATACTCTCACATGAAAGCTACTCTGAGGGTAGTTAGATACATCAAGCAGAGTCCAGACCTTGGGATTCTCATGTCAGTTGCAGAATCTACCCAATTGAAGGCTTACTGTGATGCTGATTGGGTAGCATGTCCAAATACAAGGAAGTCAGTCACTAGCTATTTAGTGCAATTTGATAATTCCCTCATTTTATGGAAGTCCAAGAAGCAGAGTACCATTTCCAGAGAGGCAGAATATCGAAGTTTGGCTTCCACAGTAGCTTAGATTGTTTGGCTCGTTGGTCTATTTGCTTAGTTGGGTGTCACTCTCACATTACCAGTTCCCCTTCATTGCGACAGTAAATCAGCAATACAAATTGCTGCTAATCATGTGTTCCATGAACGAACAAAGCATATTGACATTAACTACCACATCATTCGTGAGAAGGTTCATCTGGGCTTAGTTTAAATACTTGAAGTCTGCTGATCAACCTGCTGATATCTTAACCAAAGGCTTGAGTAGTATTCAACATTCTCACTTACTATCCAAGCTAGGCCTCAAGAACATCTTCATTAGTCCTAGCATGAGGGGGTAATGAGCTATGTAATAGTCATGATCCAGGTTGACACTGTATAGGTTCACTTAACCATAGTTAGGTCTTCTTGTAACCATAGTTAGTTGTTAGTGTAGTTAGTTGACTATAGTTAGCTAATGAGAGATTAGTCGGTTATATTAGGTATAACTGTAGATTGTACAGTACACTTTCATTTTTGCGTATTCAGAAAATGAGATTCATTCTCACACCTCTCGCTTCTCTCTCTCTTCTCTGTTTTCTCTCTCTGTAAGAGGAACTTCTCTTTACTCAGATCCACAAAATTGACATCAAATAATACCATCTTAGATATTTGATCAGCTTCATCCATTTGATGTTTCAAACAGGTTTCAATATTCTTGACCAGCCGATTCAAGCCTTTGTCATGTACTATGATTTTAAGGGTTCTTATTAACATACATGATTGTTTTCAATATATATATATACACTTATACATTTAGAATTTTTGCCGAAGTTAACGCAGTTTGATGATCCCTCTTCTACAAGCATAAGTCTGCCTCTACCTAGAGGCTATAGGAGTATATAAAGTATAAATTATACTTCGTCCCATCTTTAGTCGAATAAATCAAACATTTATCGATAGAAATATCCGCTAAATAATCCCATCATTATTTGATTCGAGTATTTATAATCCTGATATTATATTAATTTTGGAGTAACTTGTTTCTCAATAAAACTACCTCTTAACAATTTTGTTGCTTGCAAAAGTTGATCATTTCATGCGTCATTTCACGTACACGATAGAGATGTTTGTGTTTTCTGTGGGGAATGGAATACTGAAATGAAATTCTGTAGAAAGGGAGAACGTACGAAACTTGTGCAAACGACAATATAAGAAGTCTACAACTTGGGATGTCCGCATGTTAACGGCATTAAGAAAAACTCAGTAACACTTTAGAAAATGTGAAACACATTCGTTAGACAAAGAAAAACACAGATGATAGATTCACTTATACTATAATAAGGTAGTGAAACGCTTTCGTTAGAAAATTATACTGTGCAAATACGATAAAAGTAAAATTGATTATATATTTATAAATTGTTGAATACCCTTTACATATGTGTAGCGGCAAAAATGGCTCAAAAGTTGCTTTAAGTCACAGGTTCAATTCCGCTTTCTTGCATTTTTGAATCCTTTGTTAAAATTCCTGCTCTGCCACTGCTTGAGTCTGGCATTGAAAGATAAACAAGACGGTCAACGAGTAGCGAGAATCTTCTTCTCAATTAACTCGCAATGCAATGCTGAGATCTTAGCTTCCTTTTTGAGTTATTAAAACAACACATTTGACTTGTGTACACTGCATGTTTACTTACTTGACCTTACAGATCTATACTTATATTTTGAAGCCCAGAACAAGTAGTGCATGAAGTTTAATGTACTGAGTATACACATTAGCCAGTAGAACCTCTCCAAATGGTAGTGATTCAAATTTCCACCAGAGAGCCATGGTTTGTGCTTTGAATTTCCTGTCACACTATTTACTATCGATACTATTGCCGAGCTGAGGTAATATCCTATGGCTAAAGAAGCCCATGATAGAGATGTTGCCAATGATCTCATACTAACCGGCGCTTCTGAGAAGCAGAATTCAAGTAGCCCTGCTAGAACGAAAAGATCGGCTGATCCAAGAAACAAGTACTGAAACGCGATCCAGAAGAAAGTTATGGGCAATGGCTTGGCAGAGTCGAGGAGGCCTGAGTCAGTAACTACACTTTTGCGCTTGATTTCAACAAGAGCTGCGATTGCCATCGCTACAATGGAGAGGAACAATCCGATACCAATGCGTTGGAGGTGAGATATGCCCATTTCTGTTTTGGTTACTCTACGAGCGAATGGGATGATGAAGTGGTCGTAAACTGGTGCTAGGATCATCATGAACACAACGGGGAAAATGGGGAGTGAAGCCGGTGGGACTTTTAAAGAGCCGACCTTTGTGTTCATTGTAGCTGCTTGCTGAACTGAGAATGTAGACAGTTGAGCAAGGCAGCAGTTGAGCATGATGGTGCAGGCAAAAATCGGGAGGATTTTCATCACAATCTTGACTTCTTCTACTTGTTGTACTGAGCAATCTAGTGCACCACAAGCGGGTGTGTCTGAAACAGCTCGATTAAGAAAGCTTAGACTTGTCGATGGAGTCTCAATTGGTTCTACATCTTTGCTTTTTGAAACTTGGCCACCTTCCTTACCGGTCTGAATGGGAGGAGAAGGGCTTGAAGCCATACTTGCTATCGCACTAGTTGAGTTTCTTGATACACAAGAATTTAGCAAGGCCGCAATTAGAACCTACACATAAAAATCATCATTTTATTCACTTAAAAAAGAAATGAATCAAAGAGTATTACTATATCAGAGGCGGATTCAGAATTTGAGCTCTATGGATTCAACCTTAAGGTTTTTAACATTGAACATATTATATTTTTAAAGTTATGAGTTCATATCTACTATTTGTTGTAATTGTAGTGGATATTTATACATAAATTTATGTTATGATATCTTAATGCTACATCCGCCCCTGCATATAATATGAAAAAGATTATGAAAGATTGAGGTTTTGTGAAACTCTATACCTTGCTGATTGTTGTAAGAGGGCTTCCACAAGGTATCTTGTTCCTATAGAATGGCGAACCAGCGAGGAAGACTGGGATCGACAAAAATATGGCCAAAGTGGAAATTCCAAATCCCCATTGCCAACCCTTATTGTCTTCCACCCAAACCACGAAGGTTACAGCAATGAGAGCTCCAAAGGAGAGGCAGAACACAAAGTAATTGAAGAAAGTTGATCTTTGCTTTCTTCCTTGTGGGGTTGCTTCATCAAACTGTTCTGCACCGTGGGGTGGTAACGATCCTTTTATACCTCCTACACCTAATGCCACTAGGTAGAGCCCTATGAACAACATTGCAGCTTGTGTACCATGAACTTGTTCACACGGCACGCTGGGCGCTGCATGTAGGTCGCATGTTGATGGCTTCAACGACGCAGAACGAGCCTGTATCGTGAGTACTACTAGCCCCTGTTATGAAGCAAAGTTTTCAGGAAATATTAAGAAATTATCAATCAAATCTTTGTTAAGAAAAATGAAATGATGCACGAATTATGCCTCTACATTTTATAATTTAAAACTTTTAGCTTTCTCGTCAAGATGCTAAAATAACATGCAATGTTTTTTTTTTTAAAATTGAAATCAGTCACTGATGCTTGGACCAGGGTAGGCTGCCTACATCACACCCCTTAGGGTGCAGCCCTTCTCTAAACCTTGTGTGAATGCGGGATGATTCGTGCACTGACTATCCTTTTTTAAACATGATTTGGTTAATTGACCAATACATAAGCAATTTACCTCACAAAAATCATTGTTAAAGAGGCTTACGTTCTGCCCCTAAACAAGACTCTCTTAAGTACTACATGCAGTATAATATGCAATGTTGCGATGTAATCGTGGTGCATCTTGAACTTCACCTTACTTGTACTTTTAATTTTCTTGTGGGAATATTCAGGGCAGGATAGTGATTGTTAAATGTTAATAATGCGAAAACTCAAGTAGGACTAGGGAAAGAATGACCCTAAAAGAGTTCAAAGTTCACACATTTAAAAGTGAAGAAAAAGTTTCTTCTAGCTGTCACTGGAATAAAGAGACAATCTCCTCCTTTAAGTCCACTTTTGACATTCCAAATTCTGGAACTAACCATGCAAATTAAATCTATCAAATTTATTTAATAAGTACCTAGCAACAGTGGAATCTTTTTCATTAACACTATAAAAAAAAGTAAAAGAAAAAGAGTTTTATGAGAAAAATATATATAGTAATGACCAAAATATGTTCACATGGCATGCAACGAAGACAATTAGTAGGATTTACCAAAGATAGGGCTAATATTCATCATTTGTAGCACTCCAAACAAATAGGCTAAGGTCATTAAAAAAACAAATCTAATTAATTCTATTACACATTTCTACTTTTAATAGGTGTATAATCAAGCATTGATAAGTTGCTGTAGTGGCATTTGCCCTTTTGTCAAATGAATATAAAATATTTTCTGCGGGCATTCTCTCATAATGGAAAGTTCATGTCTATTTAAAGAAATAGATAGCACTGCCACATTACTAAAAACCAAACACCTGTTGCATTAGCCTTCTAAATGTTACTGTATTTTAATCACCACTTATAGTTAATATTCCCATAGGCTAGCCATAAAAAGCAAAACCCTAATGCTATATGCCACTTGACATACCATTTATGCAAAAATTAAACTTTCTATTTTGAAAAAACAAAACCTGTTCTTTATGTATATTTTATCTTTTAGCACAGTCTAGAAAAATCTTTTTTTCTAAAATAAACGGGCTTAGTTGTTTAAGAAAAAATTAATGATTATTTTATGATATTTCTTGTACTTGCAATCCACGTCATAGAGTCAACTTAACAAAATTGGGTATTAATTGCCACTAAACAAGCCACCAAAGAGGAAAGACATGTCAATCCAAAACCTGGGGTGGCCCTACCACCATCAACACCACAGGTAATGCAACAGAGTTAACAAAGTTATAGGACGACGGCAACAAATCCAAAAGTCACACAACAGAACAAGAAAGGAAAAAAAAAGATAAAATCTAGCGAAATGTGTATGCGAAGAGGTAAAATCGAGAATTTAAACTTAATGAATTCAAGGTTCTGAATCCTTCGAAAGTATTTGCTCAAGACATAGTATTATGCTGGAGGGGNACGTACGCATGTCTAGATAAGAAGAAAAGAACAACGTCAAATGTGAAAACCTAAGATCCCAATATGACATGCAGGGGCGAATCTAGCCCTTCGGTACCGGGTTCAACTGAACCCAGTACTTTTATCGCAGAGTCAAAATTTATGTGTAAATTTATTACAATTGCAACAAAGAGTAGATGTGAACCCATAACTTTAAAATATAATGAATTAAATGCTAAAAATTTTAACATTTGAACCTATAGAATTTAAATCCTAGATCCGCCTGCCAAGAGTTTCAACTTCTCGAATGTACAGAGATGGACCTACCCCGGTAACTTCAAAAGACTCGTCGTGTACCTTTATACAGGAAATGAAGCATCTGCCATGGCTGATGAGACGCTACTAATTACTGGTTTGACAGTTTGAGGCAAACACTCGTCGTGTACCCTTAGACAAACAACTTAAATGCTAACAAGCAATATTGTTACATTGCTTTTCCAATGGAAATTTTAGATGTTGTATTTATATGTTTTTCGTCTTTTTCCTAATTGCCCCCTCATTTAATTCCAACAAATCCTTATCCCAAGCTCCAGGGGCTGATGTAGCGTTCCATCACCGGGTTTATCTGAACCCAATACTTTTGACGCAAAGTATAAATTCATATGTAAAAATACATTAAAGATATAATAAATGGTAGGTCTGAATAGTGGGTTTAACGCTATAAAAGCTATGAAGGTTGAGCTCATAGAGTTTAAATCTTAAATCCGAATCTACCAAACTCCCGCAAGGTAGCGTAAATTATTGATAAAGATTGTTCCGTAGGTGTAAAAACATCCGACGAATTCACATTAAGTGTGGTTGAAATTTACATCTTATAATTTCGGCAAAAGAATATTGCAATTTTATTAATATACTAATTCTCCTATCTTCGCCTCCCCACTATTCATAGGCCATCATAATTCATATCCAATCAAGAAAAAAAGACTACTTGTAAATATTTTTCTTAGCCCACTGTCACAATATATACACAGTGACCAACGTAAAGTGCGGGATAAAAAAGTACTTAAATACAAACGAAAAAAGGTTTGTGTGAGTGTATGTTTTGATGTGAAAAAAGGCTTATTTTGGGTATGGGTCCCTGGAAATTGCAACACTCTAACTAAATACGCTGCATGAATGATGTGGCGAGATCTGGGGGGGAGGGGGGGGGATCCTTCCACTAATATTGTATCTAAAAATTATCAATTCTAATTTGACAAAAATTATCAATTCTTTTCATGCTATAAACTGTGTTTTCCACGATGCCACAAACTTTAATTCACCAAATCGAATCATATCAAGTAGTTTCTTTTCTAAGTCATGCCTCATGGGATTTCTTTTGGAATTTTTTTTAAAGAATAAGAATGACAAAGGAAAAGCTAAGCTCCATTATATTATGGGGTCAATATTAATTTTCCTAATTTCTTCGTTAATAAGTTTGATGGATGGGACTATGAGGAAAAAGAAAAAGAAGCAGACAGAGAAGATAAAAAGAAAAAAAGCAACCAATTCCTATGTATCTTTTTAGTCATACTAACAAAACTTTTATCGCTGGAATCGATCAACTTGCTCAAATTGCAAGTTGCTTGCCCTATTGCAATTTTAAAACTGATCATTCACTATTTTTAGGATGCCATTCTTAATAAGAGTAGTATAGACTATCTCATTATGCTCGGGTTTGAGTCAGAGGCGGATCGAAGATTTCAAGAGGTTTTGTGAAAAGGTAGATCTAGAATTTATATTGACGGATTTGACTTTTGTCTTTTATCATGAACCCATATACTTTCGAAATTAGAGGTTCAAAATTATATTCTTTTGGAAATATTAGTGATTTTTACACACACACACACACATATATATATATATATATATACACACACACTCTCTCCGTGTCGTGCACCCAATAATAATTGCACCATAGGAGCTTTTGAGTATGGGTGCACGCACACATATTTAAATAATTTTGAAAAAATATAACATTGTTATATATTGTTTAGGGAAAGGAGCATGAGTTCACGTGAACCCACATCTCTTAACCTAGATACGCATCTGGTTTGAGTATGAGAAAGAATTATTTTTGATAGACAGCGCTTCTTCTTTAATGGGTCTTATGTGGCACGAACTCGATTAGTCAGAACTTCATAATACGACCAGACATCGAGTGAGAAAAAAAAACTATTGCACTATGCAAATCTTTATTGTATGAAAATTCACTCAACAAAAAAGAATTAGGTGGAAGTAATAGAAGAGGGAGTATTGTGAAAGAACAAAATAAGAGTAAAAAGACACAGATAGTCATTCTTTGCTTCAAAAGTAATTTGACTTTTTCCCTTTTTTCTTGTGAAAGTACGACTACTATCATTTATAACGGTTCAATTAGTTAAAAAATGAAAATAAATTAATAATACAAGAAAAGGAAGATTCTGAAAAAATATAATACAACAAGACAAAAGAGAGTGAATGGGTGCAGAAAAAGTGTGGCTACGTTACTGCCTTTGATCACATTTCCCAACTATCTTTAATTCAATATTGGCCAAAAAATGCCATAGTTTCTGCTCATTTTACGCCTCACCAAATTAAAATCCACGTGCCTACAGTTCAGTCGGTTATAAATAACAATATTTTTATACGATAGTAGTATTAGTTTTAGGTGTGTTACATAAATCATTTCACCTCACAGATTAGTTAAATATGTAAATATTTTTTTTACACGATCAGCACATACAAAGAAGAGTAGAACGGTGATAAACACATATATAGATTAAGGGGAAAAAACATAATGGGAAAAAGAAATGAAAATTTACCAGAAATTCAATGACTGCACTGATCAAATAGATGCAATAAGTTGTGCAGAAAGCATCAGATAAGAATCCACCAAGTAGTGCCAGCAGAAATGCTGTGCCCATAAAATTGGTCACAGAATTTGCTGATTTTGACGGTGAAAAATGCATATATTCGGACAAGTAGAGCACCAAATTGCTTGCATTTGCCAGATATGCTAAGTTCTCCAGCACCTCCACAACTGTAATTTTGCATTTCAAGAAAATTCACAAATCAAAAAACCAAACATGCAATAAAAGATAAAAAAGGATAGTCAGATGCATAAGTCATCCCAGGCCGGAAAGGTCGCATCCCAAAAGGTGTGACGTAAGCAGCCTACCCTGATGCAGGCATCAGGGTATGATTCTATGGCTCGAACCTAAAACAATTTGACTGTTGCTCCAAAGCTCTACTCATTTCAAACATGCAAGAATGAAGGAATATCTCTTTCTCAAAAACCCCATATAAAATTTCCAGAAAATAAGGAGTTTAGGCATATGAAAATGATTTTTACCTAAGACAAAGGAGGCAGGAAGTAAACCACCATGTTTCTTAGTGAGAGCAGGTCTATTTTTCCAATCAACATAGCCATCCCAAGTGCTTAATTGGGTTTGGCTCTCTGTTTCCTGCAACACAAAAACAGAGTGATGAATATATTGAAAGGCAAAAAAATAGGGTTAAAGAGAAAAAGAGAAAGAAAGAAGAACCCACCATTTATTTTTCTTGAATTCCTATTAGCTTTAATCTCAACTTGAATTTAGGGGTTTAAGTTGAGAGTTAAAAAGAGTGGAGGGATCTATGGAATACAGAGGAATGAGATGTAGAAAAGAGAGTTATGAAAGGTGGGGCTATTTAAAGAGTTGAAGAGAATGGTTTGGGAAAAAGCAAAGGCTAAAGGTCCTCCTCCTGTAGGAGAATTTCAAGAATTTCCATTTTTTCCTTTTTTCTTTTCAAAATTACAAAGTTTTTTTTTTTTTTGGAAAATGACATTGTATAGCCGCGGTCAAAATAACAGCCGAAAAAATATATAATTTTTATATATTTATATATACATTGTGTATGTTATATACAAATTTTATATACTTTTTTTGCTACCAAATATAAATAATTTCTGGCGCGAGTTAAAAGTAATAATACTTTTTTTAATTGATGACACAATTCCTCTTTTGGCAGTCGAGCTTTTCTTCCCTTTTCACGGGGAATGAAAAGAAGAGAGATGGATATGATGTTAGAATACGGATTTGATTGGTTATCGAATAATGATTCGTTTGGTTTGGTTTGAGGGATGAGATAAATGAATAATCATGGTATAGAATTTGGTATGCTTTATTCCATGTTTGATTTGTATTTTGAATTATGTATAACTAATCTTGGTATAATACTATAACCTAATACACCATTTGATGTCTTGTTTTATACCCAGTATAATATGGAATAGTGATACATGATTTTTTTCCCCTTCTTTTTAGTGATACATGGAATAGTGATACATGAATTAATTAATACATAACTTAAATACCAAAAGATAAAACTACCCTTAATCTTTTCAATCAACCCGTCATCAACGTCCTTTCAATTTTATTAAGTTTAAAACATATGTGCATTTATTAAATTTTATCCTATATATTTCAAATTTAGTACAAAGAACTTGATTATAAAAAAATAATTTTTGTAATATAATCTCCGCCAATGTTAATTGTTGCAATACTAATACATGTATTATGATATTTGCATACCTTATTTCTTTTACCAAATGACCCCTAAAGTTTAACTATGTATTTTTGTGAGTCCCGTCTAGTGTTCGGTAATAATTAAAATTGTAGCTCGACTAAATTCGGATTGGTATTTTCCTTCCACCTTTTTCTGTTTTCCTTTTTCTTTGTTCATTTTTCTTTAATTGTGTTGTTTGTGTTGGAGGGCTGAAATGAGTCAATACCTACCTTCTAGTTAGTGGCAATCGAACTCTCTCTATCCTCCAAATTTGAGTTATCTTTGAGTAGATATAACACCGTAAGTACATTTGTTTAGATTTGTAGGTTTTACTTAGAAAAGAAAAAGAGAAGAGGATCTTATACTATATCTTTCACTCACTTGACTTGGCAATTTCGATCCATTAGACTTAAGGCCTTTAGAAATGTCTGTATACGGATAAAATCGGTCTCGAAATACATCCCGATCTCCAACATAATAAGCCAAACTCGAGATGCAGTAACAGAGGGCCTAGACCGAGGTAGGGATCTTATCAATTCTGAGTCCGGATCATAACACCCGCCCTTGAGAATATCGGGGTCGTAATTAGGGATCAGTCCTGGCCTTGTTCAACTTCGAAGAACGTTGTCGAGCTCGGCCAACAGAAGGTCGTGATATTAGTAACCGACCGAATATCACGGCAGAGATCTCGGCATATACCGACGAGAGATCAGCAATCAGTTAATTAGGGGATTTTTACCTTTTATAGGGTTGTACCTGATATAGGGTTCCCCTACTATATAAAGGGGTCTGATTACTTGTAAGAAAAATGGTAGCATGCACTCCAAAGTAGTATATTATTAATTTCTTTCTTTAAGATTTTGTTCTTCTGTATCTTTATATCGGTCAAATTGCATCTAGTTCAAGTGTGACTGACTTTCCAAGACTGTAGATGTTCAAGTTGTGCGGTTTGAATTTACTTTATCATTGTTCATTTCAATTGCAATTCTAATTTATCACTTTGTATCAATTTAATACATGTATCCTTAAAACCACTTACAAATTCAACTGTTATTCGATTTTGAGGGTAAACAGTTTGGTGCTCACCGTGGGGCTAAGGATAATAGTGGTTATTTGATACAAATCTCTATAACACACACTACTTTACACTTTGTTCTTTGGAGTGTCTCTAATTTCAGGTTAAACTCAAAAATGTTAAAACTCTTAATCAGCGCCCCTACATGTTGACAATAAGCCCGGTTATCATGGTGAAAATAACAACACAGCGCCCAGTAATGAGGTACCGCCTGTTGATCCCATCGGAATTCGAGTCGCGAACTCGCTGGACACTAACTCGCATGTAGCTATTGACACAAATATGCCTGCCGACCCCGAGAATAGCATCTGTGGTAAAGCCCGATCGGCAAGGCAAAATACTCAAAACAATAGAGAAGACGGGATCAATTTACGGATGATCTTCGAAATGTTACAGGCACACCAGGCGGCGATAGCTGCATTATAGAACCAAAGTCGTGCACCAAGCAGAATTGAACCCGATCTGTCCCAGAAAATCACTCGCAGGAACGAACCGGTCGCAGAGAGGTCGAATGGAAATGAGTCGTGGACTAACCCCTAGATCATAAAAATGCTCGAGGAGCTGATAAAACGGATATAATCAGGGGAGAAGAAAATCGAAGCAAATGACAAAAGGGTAGAAATCTATAATTCCAGGATCGACCAAATCCCGGGAGCGCCGCCAATACTAAAATGCCTGGATTCCAAGAAGTTCATGCAAAAACCTTTTCCTACGAGAGTGGCTACGAAGCCGATCCCTAAAAAATTCTGCATGCCCGAGATTCCTAAGTACAACGGAACGACCGACCCAAACGAGCATGTTACCTCCTACACATGTGCTATCAAAGGGAACGACTTGGAGGATGATGAGATCGAGTCTGTTTTGTTGAAGAAATTAGGAGAGACTCTATCAAAGGGAGCCATGATATGGTATCACAACTTACCTCCTAATTCTATTGACTCATTTGCTATGCTTGTAGACTCTTTCGTGAAAGCACACGCCGGGGCTATCAAGGTCGAGACCAGGAAGTCGGGCATTTTCAAAGTAAGACAGAAGGATAATGAGATGCTCAGAAAGTTCATGTCACTGTTTCAAATGGAACAGATGAACCTACCACTGGTCGCTGATGATTGGGTCATTCAAGCTTTTACCCAGGGACCCAATGTTCTAAGCTCAGTGGCTTCATAGCAGTTGAAGCAAAATCTAACAGAATATCCGATTGTTATGGGATGACGTGCATAACCAATATTAATCAAAAATCAAAGTTGAAGATTATCAACTTGGGGCCCCTTCGAGGTCCCTATATCCCGTCAGAACCGTCAACGTAGTCAAGAGAGATATCGACCTTGAACTGAGGTCAAACAGGGATCGGTATCAGCCTTACAATGGATATCGAAGAAGCAGTAAGTCCGGGCAAAATTCTATTAAAAGTGAAAGGAGAAGTGATCGAGGTCATAGCAACTGGGGACTCATTAGCAAGAATTGTTTCGATAGGCCTATCGGGCCTAAGGAACCACCGAGGTTATTGGAATATAAAATTGAACGACGATGTTGCCTCCATTGTATCAGCTATCGGATGCATCAAGGACACCAAATGGCCTTAACCTCTACAATCTGATCCTTCCCAAAGGGATACTACCCAGTTATGCTAGTATCATGGCACGCACGGCCATAAAACAGAGGATTGCCGACAATTAAGAGAGGAAGTAGCCCGGCTATTCAACAATGGCACCTTCGAGAATTCGTGAGCGACCGAGCCAAGAACCATTTCAAGAATAGGGATTCTAATAAATAGACCGAAAAAGAAGAACCTCAACACATCATTAACATGATCATCGGTGGGGTTGATGTCCCTCAAGGACCGATGTTGAAGCGCACTAGGGTATCCATCACAAGGGAAAAACATACTCGAGATTACATACCAGAAGGAACCTTATATTTCAACGACGAGGACGCAGAAGGGATCGTACAGCCCCACAACGATGCACTTGTAATATATGTACACGTGAATAAATCTCGAGTTAAGAATGTGTTAATTGATCCAGGTAGCTCGGCCAACATCATCCGATCAAGGGTCGTAAAACAGCTCGGCCTACAAGATCAAATCGTGTCTGCAGTCCGAATTCTAAACGAATTTAACATGGCATGTGAAACCACTAAGTCAGAGATAACATTACTAGTGAACGCCGTCGGGACCATCCAGGAAACCAAGTTTTATGTGATCAAAGCAGACATGAGGTACAACGCCCTGTTCGGGAGGCCATAGATCCACAATATGAGGGTAGTGCCCTCAACTTTGCACCAAGTGTTAAAATTCCTAACATCGGGAGAGATTAAAACAATCTAAAGAGAGCAGCTAGTCGTAAAGGATATGTTTGTGGTCGGAGAGACGATTCCGATATCCATACGTACAACGACAAAGGGGCCAAGTTCGGCCACAAAATAAGAAGATAAATAGCAATTACCGAAGCCAGCCCCGACCTAACCGGAGAAACAGGGGATTGATGAAGACGATGATTATAGGGTTCCTGGGTCTTTGATAGCCCCCAATGATTCTGACGCCATTAAATCGACAGTCGAGGAGCTGGAACATGTCATATTGATCGAGCATCTACCCGATCGAAAGATGTATCTGGGCACGGGGTTAAGTCTTGAGCTTAGGAAAAAACTCATTCAATTTCTTATAGCTAACATAGATTGCTTCGCTTGGTCCTACCTTGATATGACAGGGATCCCGCCGGAGATAACCACTCACAAGCTAAGCCTGGACCCGAAATTCGACCCGGTCTAGCAGAAGAGGAGACCCCAGTCCGAGGTCAAACATGCTTTCATTAAAGACGAAGTATCTAAACTCTTTAAAATAAGGTCCATTCGGGAGGTTAAATATGCTGATTGGTTAGCAAACATAGTGGTAGTCCCTAAAAAGGGAACAAATTAAGAATGTATGTAGACTATAACGATTTGAAAAAGGCATGTCCCAAGGACTCCTTCCCTTTTCTCAACATTGATCGCATGATCGATGCCATGGACGGCTACGAGATCCTCAGTTTTCTCGATGC